ATAATGAATTAACGTTATTAAGCGGTCGCAAGTTATTATACATATCAGTCACTTGTTAAGAGTCAATCAATTCGGGATTTGTTTTGTGTGTTGAATATTTCACGGCGACGAATTGATTCGCGACGATCGACGTTTTCTGATAATTCATTATCTTTTAAGCAATAACTTGAGTACAGCTTTATTAAACAGCTTTATTTTCTCTCTCTAACATCTATATCCAATCTTCTCGATAGTTCGGATACAATATCACATATATGATAATGGCTTTGGTGATTCGATTGTTACAATGATTGAGTTAATTTATAGACATGATTTTTATGAGAAACAAAAAACGTCGGCTTCAATTTGATCGATTCGTCTTCTTTCGCTTTAGATTTAATCCTTGCTGAAGTTATCCCTCGTGTATCCTTCGTGACAAGTTTGCCGATTCGGATGTTGGCTCGTCCAACGGAATTTCAAACTTTCATGGACAGTTAAACGTGAAATGTCGTAAAATATCGCACGAAAGATTTTATTTAAAATTAATCCGCATGTGATTATAATTATTCGCGAGTGTTTTTTTGTGAGTGTCCTGTGCTACGAGGGATTCTACGATTCTAACATTCTGAGAGGAGGAGGAGGCCTAGGAGAGGCTTCGGGCACCGGCGGAGCAACCTTACGGTGAATATAAATTTCTTATCAATATAAAATTTAATCGTCTTCCATTTACTTGGATTTGGATTTTATTTGTTTTTATAATTAAAAATTAGAATTTATATTTGATTGAAGGTTTTATTCTTCTTTTGCAAACCAAATAATCAGTTTATTAAATATGTTTATTATTGAAAAGCAAACAAATTTGATGCTCAATTTGATGTATTTTGAAATATTTTTTATTTCGAACACTGTTTTGATAATAATGTTCTATTTATATGTTACAGAATCATCGTAGCTACGTTGCAGATTAACTCCGCTGTTGCGCATCGAATCGGTGAGTGACAAATTTTTCATAATGGAATAACGAATCTGTGTGATATTTAGATTATTATTATGTATTCATATAAGTATTGCAAATTCACAAAAGTATTGCAGTTTAATACATCTTCAGATTCGCTATTCTAAAATCAATTTAAACAATTTATTCGAATAAGTTTATAAGAGATTCGGTTTGTTAATGCATTACTATCTTATATTTTTTTTTCATATTTTAATCGCGAGATGCCTATATTAATTGCTCAAAAATCATAAAGCAATTTCGACAAAAAAAAAAAAAAGGAATAAAATATATGAAAATATATAATAATATATTGTAAGCATTTATTAATATTAAAACTAATACATAAATAAATATTATAAAATATAAAAATAATATAAAATGCGATAAAAATAATGTAGCCACAATAAAATATTTTTATCAATTAATATTACACAAAGATAATTTATTAAAGATTAGATTTATCAAAGATATTAATTTATATAGAAATATTTTATCTTATCCATAAATGTATCATTTTTTTTTTTAGTTTTCATGATTTAGTATTTTGCTTGCAATTTATATTTCTATTTAAAAGAGTTTGAATATGAAATTTAAACTTTAAATTAACGCTTATGTTCTATTTTTCTATACGTTAATATATTCAGCAATTTGTTACTTTTATATTTACTTACGAATTATATGTATTTGCATACATGTGCTTATTAATATATCATAGTAAATCAACTTTCAAATTTTAGGAGAAACAATAATATAATATATTTAACTCCTGATTATTAGCTTATAAAAATAAAAACTTTTATCTCAAGAAATAATAAGAAATAACAATGATTAATAAATCTGAATATATAAATAAAAACATTTTATGTATATAAGAAGGAATATCTATTATAGTTGATTAAATTATTAATATGTCATGATAGTAGCTATAAGACATATTCACGAAAGAACAAAATAACAAATATGCTTTTGCATTGACTCTCCGTTATTTCAAAACAAATTTCTGTTTTCCGCTCTCCTTATTCATTATTCATGCGACCTATTCCTTTCGCATTCGCATTCAAACGCTTTTCTCAGATATCGTACTTCTGTCACTATCTCTTCTTTGTGGAGTGCGCAACGCTCGCTGGTTACGGGTAGTTATGGTTGTAGGTAATTCCCTGTCGCTGCTCATTCTCCTCAAGCTGGTATCTCTATCCAGATGTATTTTTACTCTTGGGACATCTCGGCTTTCGTATATTCGTGTAAATAACGTAAACGGCGAGAATTCCCACCAGGAACATAGCAACTCCCACGCCGCTTACCGTACATACCTGTAACGTTGAAATTGATTTATGTAAGCTTCCCGATTTCGATAATATATGTAAATAAGAATTTTTAAGTAAGATTTACGGTGCTCAAAAAAATTTTTATTTCTTCTTAGAAATAATTCCTTTCATTGCGTGTAAAATTAATCATGGAAAACCTTGATATTTTAAAAAATATAATTTTTAAAAAATTACAACGCATTAAAAATCAAAGGAAAAAGATTTTTAACAATTTTGGAATTTTCTCTTAAATGTTATTCAAGTAATGAACAATGCTGATATGATATGATATTATGATATAGATATTTTTCAAAGATTTAAAAAGATTTCTTTCTTCCGTAATTGATCTTGTAAAATGATAAGCTAAAAGATATGTTACCATTGTCCACCATTCATTATCATCCATTCCCGAAACTAAGATTTGTCTTGTCTCACTGTTCTTTTCATCCAACATTTTGGTTTCTTTGACAGTCGTAGCGCATCCTAAACGTGATTTATTTTCTTCTTTCAAAAATTCTTTAAAAATGTACAATAAGTTTTCATGGATTGGTGACTCTTCTTGATTTTTCTCGATTTGTTCTAATATGACATCTTCTTTCTCATCCAATTCGCTCTCATCCCAATAAATTTTTGTTTTATTCTGGCGCACAATTATGCCACCCAGATGCTCTAGATTACTTGTTTTCTTTTTCATAGATAGATCGAGGAACTTTGGTGTCGCTTTCGATTCCGTGCTATACGTCATTAATACATTCGACACCACGTGATTCCAATCTAAAGGATGTATTTGATCCTTGCACTTTTTGTTTTTGCTGTGATGTAATTAGTAAATCAAATCTCACACAATAAATACTACATACATAATGATACTAAATTGTAGGACACTTATTTAAGATTTATTGTGTTTTAAAAGGAGTTTTATTTGCAAGTCAAACCTAATTAATCGAATTGCTAGTTTGATAGATTTATAGATAGCTATATAAAAAAATAAATAAAAAGTTAAAACAAGTAAAAAAAAAATTTTTTTAAATTTTAAAAATAGTTAATCGCAAATTTAAATTAATTCTGCATAGTTAGATAAAAATTTATTAATTATAGTTTTTTTAATTTAAGAGAATTTTCATTCTTTTTTAGATAAAAGAATGAAGGAATAATTCAATCTATATTAAAAATGAATCAATTAGCCAATTAATACATAATTACAAATATTAGTATTAAAAAATATAATGATATAATATTTTGTTGCTATAAGTAACAAAAGATATTAATAACATTGTAATAACACAAATAATATCAATTATTTTTATAGCACTCGCATATATTCCGCTTTGATTCTTAAAATAATTACTATCGATTAATAGAAATTATGCGATGCTCACCATAACATTTTTAAAGCTTTCACATAAATTTCTATAGCATTTTCTAACCATTTGACTTGTTTTAATTCTTCGGTATTGTATTTTCCAAATTTATTATCCGATATCCACCATTGCGAATTTTCGACTCTCCATTCCAGACCGTTAATTATATTTCTATAAAGAAAAACAAAACCTGATATCAAATATCTTTTTATTATGAAAATACAGAAATTTTTTTTTAATAGGAGTTTTGTTTATATAATTATCATATGCAATTTCAATTCCTCGATTTTCCGTGTATTTTTCGTTTCTATGCATGAAGAATTTATGAACTAATTGTTTAATTTAATAAAATTTCTATCGCATAACATTCAATTATGTTTTTAAAAAGCATAAATTATATATCAAATTTTTTAACAAAAGTTTTTTGAAAGAAATAGCAAAGAAATTATAAAAATGTTATGAAATTTACAAAGAAGAAATAAATATTTATGCCACAGCTTTAAAATAAACATTTGAGAAATATTTTAATCAACATTTTGGTTGACATTTTAATAAAAAATTCAAAAAATTTTAACAAAAACATCAAAAGTATATAAACTATCAAAAGTATAAACGTAGTACTTTAAAGTAAACGAAAAATCTTTGAAAGAAGTAGCATTAATTTAGACAACGTAAGTGAATTTTATTGCAACGAAAGAAAAATTTAATTACAAAATTGTCAAAGAGACACGCATTTTCGTATTTACAATTCTCTTTCTGTAAAACGGAGCGTGCGCGAAGAATTTGCTAAGAGAAATGAGATTTCTCTGCGTTGATTTAAGGACCTCGACGCGGTTGCTGTTCCGGAAAGTGAAACGTTGAAATTTGCTGGGAAAAAAGCAAGGGCATCGCCAACTCACTGCAATTTATCTAGGATCCTTAACCTCGATTGAATCCGACATCCGACACATTCGACGGAAGTATATGTGTATTGTGATTTTTCAGACAAATGCACACGTTTTTTACATGGCATTTTAATTGTATAATCGGCACGATATCCGCAAGTAATATGAAATTATTTTATCACGCAAATGTAGTTAAGTGTTACTGACGGTTGGAATGACAGCGAAGCCGGCAATAACGCATGTAAATGTATTTTTTTTAATAAGGAAATTCCGCAGCACTTTAGCTAACAACGAAGTGCTAAGATGCGTCGAATGTTAAGGAAAAGAATTGAATTATATTTCATATAATGAGATGTTTTATTCGCACTAAAATCCGTAATTTACGGAGAATAACCTTCTATCTTCTGCTCGGTTATTCCGTTTCTGCGTAATCGCGATCAATAATTCAAGAACGTCGTGTACGTAATTTCACCGAATGGTTTGCGATTAATAATGAAACAGTAGCGTGAGAGAGATGCATATCGCTGCCTTTATATATTTATGACTATTTAGAGCTGTTTATTATGGAGATAATATGGAGAAAAAAATCCAGAATTATATGATTTAATGATAATTGTTGTGATTGATATGCAATTTTATTCATTGCTTAAAAGTTTAAGTGGAACAAAGATTTTTTTACTTAATATATAAAAAATCATACCGCTTACGTGTTCAATTATATATTTTTCATTATAACTATTATACATAATAACTATTAGAGTTATGAATTGATATACTTTATTTAAAAAATGTTATAACAAATTTAGTAAAAATATATTATTACTCTTAAAAATTAAACATTAGTTAAAATCCTGTAAATTTTACAAATAAATATTATGAACACTATTTGTAGTTACCTGGAATCTTCTAAGAGCAATATGGTGTTACTTGAATTTATATGATTCAAATAATTTTTTAAATTCCCTTCGCTGATAATCAATATGGTTGCATTTTTAGGCTTGTTGAAAAATTTCTGTACTGGTTTTCCGATATGTACGATATGTGACGTATAATCTATAACAATATAACATTAATATAAAATATATATTACATGTATATAAAAATATGCAATAAATATATAAAATATGTATTATATGTATACAAAAATTATATCTAGATTTGAATTTAAATTATTTTTAATTTTATATTAAAAGAAGTTTAAAGAAACATATGGAACAAAGATAAATCTGAATATTAACAAAAGTGCATATATTTTTCAAGCGATTTTAAATTTACTTTATTGTATAATAAAGTCTCGATTTAAAATTTAATTGCGATTATATATCTTACATGATAAAATTTTAAAAATTGTATCAAAGATAATGTTGTATTAAGTTTATGATTAAGAAAAGTTCTTATATATAAACTATATAATGCTATAGACTTAAAGAAAATCTAATAAATTGATGATACTACTTATCAGTACTTGAAGTTTAATTACGATAATTATGTATAAAGTATCAAGACATCGACAAAAATACTTTTATCGGTTGCATCATTAAAATAATATGTCTAGAGTGGAATATGACATTCTAATCCCTTTCCCCATCCTGCAAACTCTAAGTTTTAAAAATTATTATTGCCTTGACATTTTGAAATAAATATTAAAATATTTATTTCTAATCTACGTCATAAACAAATGTTACTAAAAAATATGCGTTAGAAGTAGGACATCTTATATGAGAAAAGAAAGTAAGAATATAATACCTTCTTCATCGTTATCGTGAATTATGACACACAAATTGTTTTCAATGGCATTTATCGTTAGCTTCTTTGCAATATTTTGTACATCATCGTTTTCATCATCCACATTAGTTACTAATGTGAAGGATTTCCACTTTAAGATTTCTATCATTTTCAAGATTGCCTGTAAAAGAAATAATATTAATGTAAGTCAATCAATCTGTTTTTAATATGAAATTGTTGATAATATGAAATTGTTTTTAATATGAAATTTAATATGAAATGCATAGATCTTAATTTTATCTTAATTTATTGGCAAGTCACTTGCTAAACTATATCTAATTAGATGATATCATATATTATAGAACTTACAATAATTATTATGCTTAAAAAAAAATAACTTTTTCTTAATGAAATTCATAGAAAATCAAAACAAAATTAATAATACATATATTCCTTTTCATTCCAAACATTATCAAAAAAGAAAAATCAAATCTTATTTAGCCAGCGATTTTGTTATTATTTTTTCAAATAATCTTTATGACAAAGCTATTATATAATTAGTAAAACTTTTAATAATTTAAAATTTTTCAAAATTTTTTATTTAAATTTTTCATTAAAATATATATTTAATATTTTTTAGAATATTTCATCATTCTATGCACATTTTAGTTTATATTTAATTGTGATAATTAATGCTATTCTAATTGTTGAGTATTATTTTTACAAGTCTTGAATGCATTATTTTGTCTTTTATTAAAATATTTATATTTATGAAATAATTTTTATTCAAAATTATTAACAAAAAACGATAGATATAGAAATAGATATAAGAACAGATATAAGACGATGAGGACACAGGCATTCTGATAATATCAAAGTACAATAAATTATACCGGCGCATTTAAAGCAGAAACCTGTACACCGCAAAAGAAGCAAGCTATTTCTAGATAAATGCCGAGAGTGTTTTCTGTAATTAGCATATATTTCTCGTATCCAATCAAGGCGATAATTCAATTATCGTGACTTTATCTGTAATGTCGGAGAAGTCGATGGTTTCTTGACGATATGCGGGACTTTCAGTATCGAAGATATTTTGTGTACCGCTTGATGTTAGTCACGGTCCATTGATCGAGATTACGCAAGTGTTTTAAAAAATATGAACTTTATATTTGGAAAAATGTATAGTATTTTTATTTGTGATGTATTTTAATGTCGTATATTTAACAAATTTTACAATTAACGTATAAAGAATATAAACAAAAATTCTATTTTTGTTAAAATTTTGAACATTATTATATTTAAATGGATATGTATCAAATTTCATTACATTATATTCAACATTTTTCGAAAAAATTATATTATACATTATATTATAGCTTATATTATATTATAGCTGAACTTAATTTTGAATATAAAAAAATAAAAAAATTGATTGAGAAGATGATACGTGTAATTAAATACCATGGCACGATTAATATAGCTATATAAATTATTAGGCGCATTTCGATTTTATTGCAGTACTTTCAAAAGCTTGCGTAAGCATCGCGTTATTATTGCATTATGCACATTACGGTGAGCTCAGCATTATAGTTGACTACTTTAATGTAATGATCGTTATCCTAGAAGTTTCAAGGCTCCTAATAAATAATAAATTCGAAAATTCTTCACTAATAACAAGCACCTGCACTAAATAGGAGTTTGATTCTTCCGCCAAAGAATGCAAATACGGAGAAATCGATGGTTTCTTGATGATGTGCGGGATTTTCAGTATCGAAGTTATTTTGTGTACCGCTTCGATGTTAGTCACGGTATCCGGTCCGATGATTCCTAAATAATTATATATCGATCAATGGATGAGATTACTCAAGTATTCAAAAAATATAAACTTTATATTTCTGGAAAAATGTATAGTACTTTTATTCGCGATGTACCTTAATTTGCGAAACAGCAATCTTGTCAAATTAACGATTTATTACCGGCATTCTTTAATTATTTGTCTTTGTTATTTGAAATTAATGTCAAATATTTACATAGAAACGTCGAGACAATTATTGACCTTACCTAGATAATGAGGTGGATGCAAACAGCTGATATCCGCCCAAACTAAAGCCTTCATCACGGCTTTTAAGGCACCCGTTATACTTCCGCATGTATCCAAAACGGTAATTTCTATAAAAACAATTTGTTTCACGATTAAATTTTTTTCATTTAACTTCTGTATTGTGTTTCGCAATTGAAATCCGTTTGACATCCGTTTACATCGGACATTTGGGTCGCGATTCGGTCGATATTCAAATTAAGACTTAAACATTTCGAATGTTTGATTCGAAATCGGTGATTTTATTTTATTTAATTTCATTACCGATTTACCGATTTTGAATTCGTTGGTTTTGTTATTGTGAATTTCGGTGAGAAGGTTGGCGGCTTCGTAGAGCATAACGCCCCTTGTCGACAGTTTTGTGCACGATGGATCGTCGTGCACGCTTGTTAGAAAGGAAATTTGCGCGGTTTCGTCACATTTCGTGCGTGCACCACACGTACACGCGGCGATCACCACGAAAACTATGCACCAGCCTCGTTGAACTCCCATGTATGCGTGTATTTCGAGTAAATAAATTGATTGATTTGAGTTCTCTAGAATTATAAAAATGAGAAGACTTTTTTTTTATATAATTTTTCATTATAATAAAATATGTCGACACAAACAAAAAATATGAAAGGAATAAATACAGTTTTTCGCACGTTGTCACGTCTTATTGACGTAAAGCGATTACGAAGTAATCCTTCCTTTCACCAAAGTAATTTAAATCAGCCAGAAACATAATAAAAGTAATAAATGAATTGCGTTTAGATCGTGATTATTTTTTGCTTTTAATTAAATATTTGCGATATAATCGATTCTGTTTGTAGATTTGTTGTTATGTTAATTGTTTGAATAATTCTAAATGATGTGATGATTAATTATGAAAAAGAAGCACATAGAAAATTGTTATATTATACAGACACAATTATGTCATATATGAGAGATGAGAGCGAAGTTTATGCATGGAGAGCAAACTGATGCACAATATAGAATTTTAAACGTATTACACGTAACGTCTTCTGAACAGATTTTACTGAATTATTCGCCTCAAGTACAGACCCTGATATTGAATTGCGGAAGCTTTATAAGGTAACAGATGCGATATACATTATGTGAATTTGTAAGGTTTTGAATATGTCCTTGCACAACAGAAGTTCTCAAAGCTTATCATTTAAAGCAACTACTAAAAAATGGAAAAACATTATTGTTGAATGTTTTTTAGCAAAACTTTTAATAAAATTATTAATTATATAAAACTATTAGTAAAAGGATTAATAATTTTTAATAAAATTTTTAATAAAACTTAACTTAAAAGAAATAATAAAATTAACAATTTAAAAAAATTATTAAATTGTCTATTATGTTACACAATTGTGTTAAGTTGTTGATAAATTTTATGCTGACAATAAATTTTGTATTTCTCTGAAATTCTTTTATTTGCTATTTTTCTTAGAACACTAAAAGAATAAATAAGGATATTTACGTTTTCTTCTACGTTTTATATTTTAATTTTTTTATATCACGTAGTTATTGTTTCACGTAGTTGTTTCAAATGTAATAAAAATAAAAAATTTTTTTAAATTAGTGGAAAAGATAAAGATATGATAATAATAAAACAATTTCTTTTACTAAATATTATTGACAAATGTTCAGAGTATTTGATGAATAATGATATTGAAAAATATTCCTTTTGGAAGAAAGAATGTAAAGAAATATAAAAAGTTATAAAATTAATAACAAATTAATAAGAAATTAGTTTTATAACTTTTACTTGTTCACAAAAACTTCTTTTCATTGTTTGTACTATGATTTATTAAAAGTCTTGTGAAACAATTTTTCTCTTCTTTAGTTAGTTTAATGTGAGAACCTCTGCCAATTTATATATAAGCTCATTAATACAACAAGTTGCTAAGAAGAAATCCTATATTTAATCCTCTTACATCATTTCTCTTTTCTCTTTTGTTTGCGTAACTGTTATGTGACTAAAATATATTAGAGAAGTTGCACACACATTGGTTTAACATGATATTTTTTTATATTAATATTATCTCTATTACATTGTCCATCTATTACATATTCATAATGTATTAATTAAGCGTTAATTTTTTTCCTACAACTAATAATAATTTTAGTTTATTTTACAAGTATATTGTAACACAAGTTAAAACTGTAGGTTGCTACAGCGTGTGATTGTTTACAGAAATTAATTGAAACTTGAGATGTTATGAGTGCAATATATTTTATGTTTTTATAAATAAAAGGAATAATTAATAATATTTATGAACAAATCATATTATCATATTATCATATTAAATCATATTATCATTAAATTATTTATGATTATATAAAATGGATCTCTAATTCTTTGTAATAAATATTTTTATTTAATACACACATTCTCGGTGTGGTTTTTTTTTATATGATAATATTAATAATAGATGGCGGTAGAAATCAAGAAGATGTATATTGTTTGATGACTATGAATTGTATTAATCTTGGTAAGAAGCACAAGGTGGCACCACTAACTGATGACAGGCGGGATAAATCATTTTCCCACAAGAATGATTGATTCACACAGTCATTTGAATTTAGTGAACTCATGAACCCGAGCTTAATACATTGCAGACATGCATATATATTGATACATTACATCAATCTATCATGTACACACGTTTTGTCGACAGTTTTATAAATATTGGAGAAAAAAATGGAAGCAGGAGATATCTAATCAAATCTATACTCTAATCTAAAAAGAATAAAATTACCACGAACCTCTACGAATTTTCATATATTGATATAGAAAGAAAAACCTTATTTTTTATTTATATTCTTAAATAAACTAAAAGACAAATTTTATATAAAATTATTTTATATAAAATTATATTATGTTGATACAATATATTAATAATTTTATTTTAGTGAATGCACTTTAATAACTTGTTGAATAATTCAATAATGCAAGTAATAGCTAATAAATAAAATAATTTTGACTGCTGGCGAAAATAGTATAGTGCACTCTACAGAAGAAAATTTTTTCGTGTATTCTATAGTTAATCATTTACAATTTAATTTAAAATATATAATCATAATTGGAGATCATTATTAGGTGGCAAAACATGATTGAAGATATTGTACGTTGAAGACATTATAAATATCTGTATTTTTATAATTCTAAAAGGAAATTTGTGCATTACATTTTTGGATGATTAAAACTCAGGTTTTAAGTTTATTTTAATTATACTTTATCAGCTTTTTAAAATGATACATTACATGTGTTATTTTCCTTATGTATTTAATTAATACACAAGTTAATAAACGTGACATAATTTATCTTGGTGGATATTAGAAAATTCCCATTTACCCTTGACATAGTCTGTTTTGATTTTACGAGAAAGTGATTTAGGGAACTCTTTGATGTAGACGTATCGTCTAGAAATCATGTCTACGTATGTGACCGACTACGCGAGATAGACACACTTCGCGATCGAGTTATAATTCTTTCAACCAGGCATGCAGATGGTCCGCGAACCGATCCGTGCACTTCAAAGGCAAATAAGAAAAAGCGCGGAAGGATATATTTGCGTCCGTGCTGGCCATTACTTACGTTGGCACAGGACCAACAATAACAGTAGCGGACTTTTAAATGCTAGAGACGCGGGACTTCCTCGTATCTCAAACATCCCCATACCGTCCAGCTGCAGACTGTATCGGTGCGGACACAGTCTGCGATCTTTACCCATCTCTATCCACACGTCCATCGAATGTTCGATAAATCCTCTGACGAATCCTCGACGAACGGTTTCACGCTAAACTTCGTAAAGTAGCAGGCAGAAATAGGGACGAAAGAGGGTGGATAGAAAATTTCCTTCCCCCGCTCATGTTTCCAGTGAACTCCACTTTACTCTCGTATTACATTTGGGTTTAAGAGGGTTTATTTTAACGGCATCTGAGTGCTAATATTATTGTGTTAGAATCACCGCGGTAGGGTCAAATGTCGATAATTCAGCCTTTTAGTCAATGTAAACTAGGTCAATGCAATGATTTTTAGGAATTAGAAAATATTAGTATTAGCAATTACCATATTTAATGATTTTTATTATATGAATACTCATTATTTTTATGATTTTGTTAATCATTAGAAATTTCTGATATGAGATATTATCAGATTGGTCTATCTATCTGACAGTACCAATTATTTCATTCCATTTTTACGTATATTTCACTTATTAACATATCCCGAATTTATTGCAATTTTGTAATACTGCTAATGAAAATGCAGCTAAATTGCAGCTGAATCGCTTTTTAAATTGACTGATATTTTCGGTATTTAACATATAGTTAATGGCTCGCAAAGAGTGTTTGAAACTCCGTGTGGAAAATATATTTTGCACACTAGAATAATATAATTATTTTATATATTTTTTCCCCTTCTTTCTCTCTCAGATATGATACATAGAAAAGCATTTTCTTAATTGATCCATTCTAATAGCGATTTTTTATAACATAATTTTTTCTCTACGAATGTAGCAGGAAAAGATGTTTAAATGTGATGAAGATTTTAATGAAGGCAAAAATATAATTCTTGTGTAACTCGCGCATTAAAGCAATAGCTGTAATTTTTTCAAAAATATATGTCACTGTGATGTGATTATTATTTCGTAAACATTTCTGTGCATCTGTCAAATCACTGTCTACTATCGTAATCTTTCGTGTGCTGCGAAACCCAATCGCAAGAGATCATCAACATCGATGAATTATGATCGCTGATTTTGGATCCGTTCAATATTTACTTTATGACTTCTTTATGTCGTCACGTGTTTTGCGACACGTTAAAGATATAACGTTGACTCATAGACAGGATAGATTTAGGACAAGCGCATATAATTGTGACATTACTTAAAAATAGACTTAAGAACTGAATTTTTATCTAAGAAAAGTTAATGGAGATATATAATTTTAAAAATTATAACAAATAAAGCTGATATATAAAAATGAAATCTGAAATAAAATAAAAAGTGCAGTCACATTTCGCTAGTTTTAGAACTCGATTCCCTATGGACTCGATTTCTAGGACAAGAGTTATGACGGGCAGGCAGACACGCGAAGTCATCCATCGTGGTCCGCGTATTCCCGTTTCGCTAATGCTCTTCTCACACGCATCGATGAATGATCACACGCGTAAAAATCAGTGTCAGTGACGCCGTGCCGTAATTCTCCCGCGAGACTTTTGATTTCGGCCGCGCGCCATCGCGGTGCCTCCGCGACGTAACGTTAACGCTGACAAATGTCCGCGAGACTTTATCCGTAATCGACCGGAAACGCGAAGACTGGCCTAGATTTCGCGGCGTAAACCGTAAACTTTCGAAGAAAGAAAAATGTAATTGAGCGAACGCTCCGGCTATCAGTAACCTTATTACGAATCCATTCGTGACTTTAAACGCAATAAAATATATTCGAACGAAAAATATATTCAGTTAAAATAAGTAACATTCGTTTACATCGTGAGCTTTCTATTTTTATAGAATAGAAACGAAATCGTTTTACAATTTACATACAATCGTGTAAATATATTTCTGTATTTGGGATTTAAAGCACATTTTACAGACTTTATTTTTGCTCCCTGTGCTCCTCGTGTAAAACGTTTTACGATTACGTTATGTTCCAACATTAAACGAGGTTAATGGATAAACCGTGGAATTACCATTCGCTGTCATTCATTATAACTGTCGCGTCGACATTTTCCTTTGCTCGGCATAATCAGGTCGCTTTGCGAGCTTTGTTGTTGCTTCTCTTAGCCGTCGGCGCACTCGGCTGACACGCGGATAGAAAAATTTTCGCGCCGTTTAGCAAGAACGACATGCAACGACGAGTGGAAGCGCCACGGTCGAAGAGATCGTTGCTGCGTTGCATGCGCGTGACCCAATATGGAGAAATTGAGTCTCTCTCTCTCTCTCTCTCTCTCTCTCTCTCTCTCTCGTACGACTCGACCGACGAC